CCGCCTGTCTATCTGAAGCTGCTCGTGGCACTCGCCTGCCCAGGTGCGCGCCCGGGGTAGAACTGGCGCGCGGGGCTTCTGCCTGCGTTCGGCTAAGCTCAGTTCCTGGGCGCGGGGCAGGCTGCCCAGAACCGCGCTCTAGGGGTGCGCCGCGAGGCGAAGTGCTCGGAAGGACCTCTGCCGAGCGCCATGTGCGCGTGGGGCCAGCCGTGGGCTGGAGATGGACGGGGAAGACGTCTGCGACGTCCCTGGGAGAGGGGCTGAGCGACAACGGGCCCTCCTGGCGGAGTCCGGCCCGCCTTCGCCGCTCACGTCGTCTACTGAAGGCCCACACGGGAGAGTGGGGTGAGCCGATGATCCCCGAGTCTGCACCGGGGTCTCCTGCGCCGGACTGCGAGCGGCGCTGTTAGCCGGAGCTGCCGTGTGGCTCCCCTGCAGGCCCACAGGCCGAGGCACAGTGACGCCCAGAGGCAGTGGGGACCCAGGCGGCGCCGAGACCTCCAGAGAGGAAGACAGGAGGGGAGGTGAAGGCCCGAAACTCCAGGGAGAGCTGGGCTTGACTTCCGAGTCCCGGCCCCCAACCCCTCTCGGCAGAGGCTCGCCCGGGTCTGGGCGGAGACGAAGGTAAAAGCCAGAATGAGGGTTTGTTAATTAACTGATCCTTCTCCATTAATTCGTCCCTGGAGGAGAGACTGTCAATCCGCTCGGAGCTGGGGGCACTGAGCCATTGCCAAGTCTAAAGTCAGAGCGGAGGCCACGGGCCTCCCCCCGCCGTGTGCCGCCAGTGAGCAGGGGGACACGCAGGGCCCAGACTCCTCCGCCCTGGGGAGGGAGCCCCGGGGTCCGGAGCTCGAAGCTCTGAGCCCCGCCCTGCAGCTAGAGCCCCTCTGGTCTGCAGCCGCCCTCGCCCTCCGTGCTGGGAATCAGGGAGAAGTGGTCAGTGCTCCCAGGGCAGACGCCGAGTCCGCTCTTCAGCCCGGTGCGCGCCTGCTGGGCTACGCGAGGACTGGGCACCCGGCAGTGGGTTCCGCCTCCGAAAGCACCAGGCCTTAGGAGAGCAGCAGGACGCCGCACTCCCACTCCAGGAGCCAGCCAGCGGTGGGGAAAGGGAAGGGGAAGGGAGATGGCTAAGAACAGCACCCCGTGGGAAAGTGCAGAACCCCACCCTGCCCTGAGGCGCTCGCGCCAGGCCTCCTGGACCCCAAAGCGCACTGCCTGTGGCCTTCTGGAAGGACGCAGGAGTTCCCTTCAGGCTCCAGTCTAGCGCCCTCCGACCTGACCTGGGAGCAGAGCGATGTGGAGGCGGGGCCCCCAGGAGCCGGATCTCCAGCTGGTACCAGGCAGATGCTCCTGGGACCCGGGAGGTCATGGGGCTCTTGCCTGGACACTTAGCAGCCTGTAGCGGTTCCAGACCTTTTCCTGGAAAAGGTGGAAAATGAGAGGCTGGAGTAAGACTGCTCCCCCCACCAAAAAAAAAAACCCCAAGGGACCTGGGTGGCTTAAAGCCCAGAGGGAGAGAGGCCTCGTCCTTATCTTAGAGGGGTGACAGGGGTGGAATGGCACCAGTGCAGCTCAGGGTCAGAGAAAGGCACAGCATGGTTTGAAGACCCTGAGTCACAAGGAGTCTTGTGGTTAACAGTTTTTCTTGTTTGCTTTCTTGCTTTCTCCCCAATGAGGCCTCTCTCTAAAGGCTCGAAAGGTGTCTCCAGGCCCAAGGTGCACCTGCTGTGGGACTCTGGCTGCGGGACGTGGGCACCCGCTCCGGTGAACAGAGCCAGGACCTCGCGCAGGTACCTTGCTCTTGGGCCGGGGGCTCCAGACCCCTCTGCGCCTCGCGGTGTTTAAAGTGCCGTTCAGTCACTGAGCTACAGCACAGATGGAAGATGGGCACAGGGAGGGAATTCTCACCAAATTAACCACCTTTAAACCACCCATTTTTTCCCCTCCCTGTAATGCTGCTGCCGCCTCACATTGCTGTGGTTCTGAGTCGCTGGAGACAGGGCACAGATGGGCACTGCACACGGGCCATAGGCCTGGGAGGAGTCCGCTAGCACCCAATTCGCCTCCAGTGTCTGCTCCATAGGGCCAGAGGAGAACCTTCCGGCCTGGGGGCAGGGGCCCCCTGAGGTGCCCATGAGAAAGTCTGGTGCAGCCCAACCTGGGCCATGTTTGCCACGGGTGGCCTTGTGGGAGATCAGTTGATAGCGGCCCACACAAGTGCATTTGCTTTCTGTTAATTATTTACCCGGCCTGCGGGACACTTCGGCTGTCCCCTGGCCTCCTTGGGCCACGGGATCCAGGCCAGGGCGACTGCGAGGCCCTAGGACCTGCACTTGCTCCATCCCTGGAGAGAAGCCAGCCGGGGCGCAGGGACGCGGGAGTTGGCAGCCGAGGCTTAGGGTGGGAGAAGGGACCAAGCCGCATCTGGGCTGCACAGCAGCTCTAACAAAGGGCCGGCAGGGCGCGACCAACCGTGTCTTTGGAGCCTGGGGCGAGGCCGGGGCCTGCCCCCGCCCATCCTGGTGGCCAGGATGGCAGTGTTCCAGCGCCTGCCCGAGGAAGTGAACTGGGGACCCTTGCTAGCTCATGGGGGCCGCTGGCAGGGTCTCTGTGTGGCCCCGTCCCAAAGGCACAAGTCTGTGCCGCCTTGGAGGCTCCACACAGTGCCCGCTGGGGAGCCCAGACTGTGGGGCGGTGCTGTGTGGGAGGCGCGCCGGGTGCCCCCCGGGATGCAGAGCCAGCAGTAGCTCACCTGTGTTGCAGCAGCAAAGCCACCCACAGTCCAAGGCCTGTATTTTTATCGGAAAGCTTTGAGCTAACCCTCTGGGAGGGTGCACCCCACCCCCTGTTTTGCGGCTCCCCTTCTGAGGAATCGATCACCCCTCTGCATAGGCCGTGTGAGTCCCCTCTGGGCCGGTGGGGCCGGGCGCCCAGCGCCTCTGCTGTCCAGCAGTGGCAGGGACAGGACACTAGATGCGCCTTTGTTTTGAGAATGTCATTCTGGTGATCACCGTTTTGAGGGGAAGGGGGTGCGAAGGAGGAAGAGAAATTGTCAGTGCCCCTCCTGAGGTCCCCAGCAATGTCTGGGGTTACCCAACTGGTGGAGACATTTTCATGCCCCCAACCCTAACCTCTCCAGACAAGGTGCATGCGTGGATTTCCCTTCTGAATGACGCTCTTGCCGGTGTTTTTATTTAAGAAAAGCAGGGTCGGCATGGAGAAGGTGACCTGGCCGTCACAGCTCAGAGATGGGGCCAGGGGCGCAGCGGATCAGCGGTTCCTTTGTTTCCTTGTTTCCTCTCCCAGCAAAATGACCCGAGGAGGAGGGAGGCGGCCTGAGGCCGGCAGGGCAGTCTTTGTTTCCTGCAGTGGGTGGGTGGAGCGGGGTGCGCCGTCAGGACCCTGGACAGGG